TAATGATTTCTCTTCTATAACCAAATATGATTTTCTGTAGAATGAATCCTTTTTTGCATGTGAGAATCTCCTCCCATGCCAGTTTTACAAGTCCAACCCACAAGATTCCCACTGGCAAAAGACCAATCGGACGTCCCAGAATGCGATGGAGAGATAACATCCAAGCAGATCTCCGAAAAATGAACATTCCATTTGACACTAGGTTGATGGAAGACCGAACAAATTGAGAAAAAGTTGTACAGTCAGCCAAGACCCACCCAGGGTTGTAGCGCTACGTGATGATGATGAATCCTTTTTTGAGTTTTCATTGGTTTGAGCAAGTTTCATTGAGCAAGTTATCGAAAAAAGATTAGCCCACAACCTTTCAACTCATATAGTCTTTATAGATCTGACAAAGGCATACGATAGTGTACCACTTTCAATGCTTTGGGTAGCAATGGAAAAACAAGGAATAAGCAAAAAAAATATACAAGCAGTACAACAGCTCTACAAAAATATGACGGAAACATTAAAACTGGAAATAGATTAACTAGAGAAATTCCTATTAGTAAGGGCCTAAAGCAAGGCTGCTGCATAGCACCTACACTCTTCAAAATATATCTAAATGAGGCACTCTCACTGTGGAGAAGAAAGTGCTGCAATATGGGCATCCCAATCGAAGATGATAGATTGTACACGATACATTTCGCTGATGACCAAGCCATTCTAGCTGAAGACGAGAGTGATATAAGCTACATGCTTAGAAAACTGGAAGATGAGTACACCAAATGGGGCCTCACAATTAATATACAAAAAACTGAGTACTTAGTTGTAGGAGAACAACCAGAAAGCCTACAAATAGAAATAGGAACTATAAAACCAACAGACAATTTTAAGTACTTGGGAGTCCAAATAACATCAAAAGCAGGAAGTAGCGAAGAAATACATTCCAGGATTGGCCAAGCAAGATCAGCCACCAGACAGCTACACGGACTATTATGGAATAAAAAAATAACAAAAGAAAATAAAAGAAGAATTTATAAAACAATAATAGAAAGTATTGGACTGTATGGCGCCGAACTCTGGGAAATAAACCAAAGAAACAAATCAAAAATTAAGGCCATGGAAATGAACTACTGGAGACGATGTTGCCAGCTCACTAGACTAGATAGGGTGAGAAACGAAGATATTCGGAGAGAAATGGAAATCGATCTTGACATAATAGACACAATCGAAGCCAAAAGACTTAACTGGTATGGACACCTTCAGAGAATGCCGGAAAATAGATGGCCAAAAAAAATAGAAGAATGGACTCCGCCAACTAGAAGAAAACGAGGTAGACCAAGACGATCCTGGAGAGACGATGTCGACGATGCAATGACCGCCAGAGATCTAACAACTGAAGATTGCTTCGACAGAAAACGCTGGAAATTAGGATGCGAGAAGCGGCGCCAGCTGTAGAAGACTCGCTTGTTATATATATTGGTTTAGCTTTTAACAAGAATCTTAATCTTTAAATTCTTTGCATTTATAGTTCACCTGATTCTTTCACGGAACTATTTTTTTAGCACCTGTTAAATTTGTTAGATGAACTACTAAAGAAAAGCAGAAATATTCTATGCAGTGACTTGAATAATAATTACGCTATTGCTTGTTCTACCCAATTATCCTTGGTCAAAATATATTCGAATCGTATTGTTTCACAATGCACGTTAATTCTCCTACAACAATTACTAAAACAATATCTACCGTAATTGATAGTATTGTCTTAGCTTTCCTACCCCTTGATGTACGTTCTACAATTATTAATGCAGGACTCTCTGACCATGAAGCAGTATGGTCAATACTTAACAAACTTAACAAACAATCCTCAAAAACCCAATGTTTAGGTAGGATTTTTGTCGCTCAGAACTTTCGTAAATTCTAAAATTTGTGCTTGACTTCTCTCTGGCACTTTCCCTCTGTGGACGTGACTATAATTTCAGTAATTTTTTAAATAGGCTTGTCTGCACTTTCAATAAGGCATTTTCTCTAATTGCAATTAAGTCAAAACATCACAACCCATGGATCAAGAATATGAGTTCACTACTGTATATCAAGAAATTTTTACGGAACTAACTAAATTTTAAACTACGGTAACTAAATCTCTACGGAATTCGAGGTATTGCTTTGAATTGGTTCAAATCTTACTTGAGGAATAGGAAACAACTAGTTAGAGCAAATGATACTGACTCTAGTAACAAAAGCATTGTACGTGGAGTACCACAAGGTTCAGTACTAGGTCCTTTTCTTTTCCTTATCTTTATAAATGACATTATCAACTTAAAAATGGATAGAAAAATTTTTCTTTTTGCTGAGGATACCAGTTTTACCTAGAGAAACTCTAAAATGGCAACTCTTCATACAATTCCGATCCACTTAAAATAAAACCTTCGTACATTTTGGCCTAACCGAATCTCCAATGAAAATTTATGGAACCAAAGCAACCAAGAAAATGTCATAAAGCAAATAAGGCGAAGAAAATGGAGATGGCTGGGCCACACACTCCGTAGACCGCCAAATGACATTGCCAGGACAGCGCTGGATTGGAATCCCCAAGGCCGACGGAAAGTAGGCAGACCTAAGGGAACTTGGAGAAGGACAGTACTGGACGAAGGGAGAAAAATGGGAAAATCCTGGCTTGAAATCAAAGCACTAGCCAGAAATAGAGTTCGCTGGAGACACTTTGTGGAAGCCCTATGTTCCTCTTAGGAATCTTGGGACTATATATAAAATAAAAACCTGGTCCGACTCTAATTTACGCTTTTTTAACATGGATAAGACATTGGCATTATCCTATAAAGGAGCTCTTCAGCCCTTGCTTCTTAATAACAGCCAGATCAGTATGGTTGATTCTGTAAAATTTCTTAGTATTTTATAGACAGAAACCTTAAATGGTCCCTTCATATTGATTTGTTAAGTAAGAAACTAGCCTCAGCCTGCTACGCAATAAGATCTGTTTCAAAGAAAATCAATTTAACATCTTCCAAAATAACACATTTTTCTTTGTTTGAGTCTCATCTTCGATATGGCCTTCCTTTTTGGGGTTCTAGTACAGCTGCCCAATCTGACGTTATTTTTAAATTACAACAAAGAGCAATATTTCAAAAATCACGGGATTTTAACCCTTCTCTCTTTATATATTTTAGAAACTGTTTACTTAATTCGTAAACACCTACATGTTTTTTCAGCAAGACCTAATCATGACTACTCCACCAGAAATTCAACCTTGGATCAATCCGGTTGAGTTAATAAAGAAATCTATATCATATTTGGCAAAACAATTATACAACCATATCCCTTATCTAACTCATAGCATTGAACACTGGGCGGTTGAAGAAGCTCTGGTCAATAGTAGAATGGATTCAAGATACCGACAATTGATACATGATATTTACCAAAACGCAACCATGACTGTAATTCTGGACGACAAATTAATAAAAGTTAAACGAGGAGTCCGACAAGGCGATATAATTTCACCTAAACTGTTTACCTTGACCCTCGAAGACATAATAAAATCAACAGATTTGGTAAACAGAGGAATATGTATTAACGGAAAATACCTAAATCACATTAGATATGTGGATGATATATTCCTGATCTCCTCCGAACGACAAAAACTGGAATTAATGCTGAATGAAGTTCATGAAAAATCACTGCAAAAAGGCCTAAAAATTAACTTCAACAAAACAAAAGTAATGACAAACACGGAAGACCAAGAGGCAATAAAAAGACAAACTGAAAAAATAGAACAGGTAAATGAGTATATCTATCTAGGACAAGCAATCAGAGCTAACAGAGAAAATCAAACAGTCGAAATATCGAGACGAGTAAGAATGGGATGGGCAGCGTTCGGCAAACTTTCTTACGTTCTAAAAAATCAAACAATCCCTCGATACTTACGAAGCAAGGTATATAACTCCTGTATAATACCGGTGCTCACCTACGGAGCACAGACATGGACATTTACACAGGCCAATTTGAATAGGATAAGGAAGATACAAAGAGCCATGGAGAGACAAATGTTGGGTATATCACTTAAAGATAGAAAACGTAACCAGTGGATCAGAACCAGAATAAAGACAGTAGACGCGATAGAACAAGAGATCAAGAGGCAGACCACAGATGAGGTGAAAAGATGACATCAGGAAACAAGGTGGTCCCACATGGCAGAGAACAGCTCAAGATAGGGAAAGATGGAGAGAACTGAGGGATACCTATATCCAACAATGAAAGGATAGAGAATAGGTTCAAAAAAATCCCTTAACTTACAACCATATCCTTAACAGGAACTGTTCCTCTCCTATAAGTGATGTAGTACCACTAAGTGCCCCCCTTTTAAATTAAATATCTGTTTTGTCCTTTTGAATCTGTTCTATTTGTCCCTAAGTGTCTTTAAGTGTTTTAATTTTTAATTTAAATATATTTTGACATCACAACATTTTTGCCCAAACAGAGACCAAATCAATTTATCATAATTGGATTAATTACAAGTTAGAGTTACATCTACCTTCATTTATTATCATATAGCTGTCTTTTTTAATAAATAATTCAATAAATTAACACAGTTTCCAAAATATACCTATTGAATAAATATAAATAACTTTTAAATAATATAAAACATCACATTCTTTTTAATAAACAATTAATTTAATTTACCATGTACCGTAAGACCTGAAGATGCATAGCAAATTGTAGTATGCGAAACCGGTCGTTGGATGTTTTTTAATTTTTAAAGATGTTTTTAAAGAAGTTTTTTAATTTTTAATATGTGGTGTTATTATAAAACAATATTAACATTCAGTAATAAGCAGATACATAATTTCATTCACCTACAAATAGTAATTACACTCGCTTCTGTCGACACTTCCCAAGTGTCACGCGCCGTTTTTTTTTTTTCGGTATATTCTCGTATTTTTTTTTGCAAATTTCTAGTAGTCTATATTTTATCCTAAAATATTACTAATTACAATTTTTTTTAGAACTATGGGTTAGTTATCATATTCTCTTCGGACGCAGTAACATTGGAAAGCCAAAAAATCATCGATTTGGCTTATAAGGAGCTTAGAAAAAGATCCACTACAAAATTGCAAAAGGAAGAGCTAAAAAGATTGGTAGTTAAAGTCAAATATTACGTACCATCGCTGACGGCTGCCAAATTTTTTAAAATTAACAGAAACACCATTCTGGGGCTTATCAGCGTTGCTACCACTTATTCTATTGTTATAATACAGCTAGGAGATTCTAATTTTGATGTTAATAATAATACTAATAGTACTAATTAATAAAGTATTTGCTTAGTGTTGATTATATATTTGTAATATAACAATTACATTTTTTGCCAAAGTTCTGTGACCATTGCTTACTTATCTCTATCACTAAGAATGTTGTTATCCCCATCCCTAATGATCCCCATCCCTAATGTTGGTTTTCCCCATCCCTAATAATGTTGCTTATTTCATCCCTAATATTGCTGCTTTATGATGTAATGCTCGCTAATTTTTCTATATCGCTTCATTCTATTCACTAAAATCCTTTTCAGCGACACCTTGCAACTATCCTTTATATAACATGAATTGTTTTAACTATTTGACTACATCCTGTATATTACAAAATATAACAGACGGAAAAATGTCTTTTGTCGAAAGTATAGTCGAAAAAAAAAGAAGCGGTAGTTTCCCGATGAGAAGACGAATTGACAGTTGACGGACGAAAAATAATTTGACAGTCATGACAGTTGGAATCCGCCATCTTGAAAATATTTATATTATGGTCCCAAAAAATTGTCTAAAAATTAAGAAAATGCTTATCTTAATTTTTACAAAAACATTTTTTGATATCATACATGTCTATTAATCATTCTCTGTCGATCACTTGGGTCATCTATCACACCAATGGGCCGGAGTAAATAGATGGCTAAGTTTAGAATGGGACCCTAAATTTAAAAGAAACAAAATTTGTTTAATTTACTAATGTTTTTATTTTAAGAACGATTTCCGAAGTGGAAATTGAAACATCAATAAACTTTAATTATGGCTTATTCCCATTAAAATAGTAATTATCTTATATTTTGCTGTGAACTTGTTGTCAGCTTATAAATATTCTGAATAACTATACAAATAATGTATTAATGCATACATGTAGGGTACGTGCACACAAAAGATTTTTTAAATTGTCTATAATAGAGCTTATACTTTGTATATTGTGATCTGGATATAGGAAAAATCTACGAGACTAAACAACGTTCATCTATTTTATATAATAATGATTCAACACTGTTCAAAACCAAGATTTCTAAATATAATAGCATCCTTTCTAGAAATCTTGATTCAAAACAGTATAATCATATATGCAGAGACGCCACTTATCAGCAACTTACTTAAACGAGTTGTAACATAAGTTGCATATCTATTAGAAAAAGTTAATAAAGTATTTTTTATGTAGATACACTATTTTATATTGAAATATAATCGAACATACCTAAAAAAAACCCAAAAAAGGATATTTACGTAGAATAAGGAGAAAGGGTTTAAAAATAACCCAAATGAAAGCAATAAAATTAACTGTTATTGCAAAACAAGCTGAAATCTACATTAGCTAATAATGCAAAAGAAGCAATCGTGGTCATTACTGTCCAGCATTTTGCTATCTTTATTCCATGCTGAATATTGGCTCCCCCTATTGATTTATATTTCTCAATAGTAATGACTACATTATTTTCTATCCATTATCAAATCATCTTGTCTAAACTACAAATAATGAACATACATGGCTCATGAGAACATACTAAAAAGATGTAAAAAACTAAGGTCAATGTAAATATTAGCAATACAGGAAGTCCCTTTGGAAAGGTCGGAATGGTTCTAATGTAAGTGATTTTAAAAAGGCTTTTTTTTTGAATCCTTGGGATTAAAAATTCAGCATAGCTAAATAATCCATGCATATTAATATCACATAATTAAACAATCCTGTTTGCAGTAACTTTTCCTATTTGCCTGAAATTTGTTGTTCGTTCTATCTATGCAACCAAAGAATATAGACGATTGATGACATTATTGGTTGAATTAATTTTATAGTTAATAAGAAGAGAGTTCTTCTTATTAACTATAATATTATTTGTAGATTTGTACCTATTTAAATTAAAAATTCGAATCATAATATTTTTTCTAATAGGATTCATTTATTAAAAGTTAAAATATTATTATTTTCTTTAAAAAATATTATAAAACGCAAAAATTTAATCCTATTCTACGGCCACGCGGCATTATGTGTTCGTAGTTCTCTGGCATTATACATAAAAATATCTGTTGCAATTGTTGCCCCACTCTTTCATATTTTAAAAGCAATAATAGCGTTGACATGACCGCTCCCTTCTCGATCCACCCTCTCATTCTTTTTCATAACGTGCGATCATCTTTTGCAAACTTTCAAACATAACAGTGAAAGATTCTTCTATAAGCGTCTATATTCTTTGATGCAACTGTCCAAGTTTCAAAAGTTTTGAATTGTTGTATTTAGAGTTGCATACCTGATACGGTAGAATTGTACGAATAAGTCAGACAGTACTGTAGGAAAAATTGAAATCTATGCGGTGAAATTCAGTTTTATTTATTCAGTATTATTAAGAAATTCAATTTAAAATATTAAAAACTCGATTAAACACTTTATTTGAGAGCAAAAGTTTATATCTGACATTATTGTAATATAGAAATACTCCTCTAGCTCATAAGTCCTACTGCTAGACGTTTAAGAGGTCACTTACCAATAACTGACAAACGTCTTGTGATGATTAAAGTCTTTAAAATTATATAAGGTAACAAAATTGAAGTTAAGACTGAAGTTGACTAAGACTGCAAATGAAAGAAGAGGAAGAAAGCAAAGAAGATTCCTTCAGATTCGCATCATGTCTACGTTTGTCCACGTATCTTTCGAATGATCCTCCGTTGTGGGTGTTAAAGAATGACAAACAAATATTGTTAAACAGATTAACATATTAATATTTCCCAAGTACGTCGATTGTGATTCAAATTACGATATAACAAATACATGAATTTTATCAGTTAGCGGATAACGCGTACCTACTTAAGTACTCTTAAAGTTATTTTTGTACCAGTATCACAATAAAAGACATTCTTTAAGATTAATCAATTGACAAATCATAAATTATCGGCTAACTTTTTTATCGAATATTTTTTTCAATGGCAATAATGAGGCAAGGTTATCTGTTTATTTGATAACATCCACACTAAACATATTGCCTACCAACAGCATTGGTAAACAATAAAATTAAAGGAAAAGTTCGGTTCAGGAGTAATCCCTGATACAATCTGAGTCACGAAAAAGCCATGGCGAAAAAAAGTAAATTAACAAAGCACTGAAGGAAGTTACTGAATTGTTATACGAATTATTAGGGCTGGTTAGAACGAATTGATCAGATACATATTTGTAGCAATATAGTAGGACGATGTAGAGTGAAGATTAATACTTACATGAAGTGTATTTGACAATTTCAAAGTTCAGCAAACCTGAATTCAAGAAGGCAAGTCATGTCTCAATCCTCCTTTCAAATAACCATAAATCCTTACACAATCTATCCCATCTCCAGGAGTAAACCTAACACGAAAGAAAAATTATTGAGAAAGGCAACGGAAAACCACCCCAATAATTTTTCCAAGTATAATTAACATGGAGCTCAACGTCTAAGACAATATCACTAATCATGGTCCTCAGACGCCAAGATTTAGCAGAGGAGGACATACGATATCAGACTGAAAGGGCCTCCCCGGTCGTTATCACATGAATTGTCAGAGACCTAACTGCAGCGAGACCGAAAGTCTCCGGTATGAAACTGATTGCGGAGATACCACATAATAAGCATGGGAGCGCGGTTTTTGTGAGAACTCACCACAGTCTCATCTGTGGGAACAATAAATGTACACGGTATAGAAATAATAAACACTGTGATCGGAAAATGCACAATAACTTCAATATACAAGCCCCCAAACCAGCCTTTTATATTTTCCCCACCAACTAACTTCCCATCACAACACAATCAGCTTGTACTGGGAGACTTTAACAGTCACACTCTGGGGCTATGCAAATTCGGACGCAAATGGAGACGCAGTAGAGGCATGGGCCGAAACGAGTGGCCTCACGTTAATTCATGATCCTAAACTGCCACCATCTTGTCAGAGCAAAGTATGGAAAAAAGGATATAACCCGGATATCTGTTTTTCAAGTAACAACCTCGAAGACCGATGTACCAAAGAAAAAATTTTCAGACCACAAGCTATTCCATTCAGAAGAAAATTTAACTTCAAACAAGCAAACTAACAAAAATATGCAGATATGCTAGATTCTGAGCTGCTACGTGTTGAACCAAAAGTAGAAGACTACAAAAAATTTGTAGAGGTACTCAAAAATGTGTCTCGAACAGCTATCTCTAGAGTATCTAGACAACAATATGTTCCCGGGATGTCCAACGAGTGCACAGAATTAATGAGAACATACGAAGACCTCTATTCCACTGACCCTTTTAGCCAAGAAACGATTGACTGCGAAGCACTACTATTCTAACAGTTAAGTCAAGCCAGACAGGACAAGTGGATTGAGACCCTGAAAAAAATGAACAAGACTCATAGTAGCAAAATAGCATGGAACCTTGTAAAAAAATTTAGCGGTGATCCAAAAGAACATAAACCACCTTGCAAGGTTATAGCAAACCAAGTCGCTGCTCAACTTCTTATAAAAGGAAGAACTATGAACTGATATAAGGACATAAACACTAGGAGAAAATTGGATTCGGAAACCACCTAGGAACTCCTTTTACACTAAAAGAATTCCCTACGGTTTGAACAGGTTAAAAACGGGAAAGCTGCAGATGTGGATGATATATGCAGTAAACAAATAAAGCATGTAGGCCAAGGACCAAAAAACTGGATCTTGCAATTTTATAACACATGCCACAAAACCTGCGAAATTCCAAAATCATGGAGGAAATCTAATGTAACGGCTTTGTTAAAATCAGGAAATGACTCAGAAAACTCCAGAAGCAACACACCTATTTCGTTGTTGTGTCACTTTTTAAACTATACAAGAGACTCATATTCGCCAGAATAGAAAAGAATGTCAACAAGCACCTCGTCCCATAACAAGGATCCACAACAAGAACCCGGCAAATCTAGCACCGGTCAACTCCTCGCACTAACACAACACATTGAAGGGGGCTTTGAAAAAAAACTTATAACTGAGGCTGCTTTCGTAGATTTGACAGCAGCCTATGAGA